TCAGAAAGTTTAGGGGATGAACAAATAATTACTAAAAAGGGTTGGTTGGGACGCTATCATGTATACAATGTTATAAAAAGAAACAAGAAAGAAAATAAATTACATTGTCTTTACCCTCTCAATTGGGAAGTTACTCTCAAGTGTTTAAGTTATAGCAAACACAAAGGGAATATAAGCCAAGGAAACAGTGGTTGCCTTATTTTCTGACGTTCTCCCCATCAGATTTTGCTATACGCACATCAACAGAGATGTAACTGCAGCTATGGGAGAAGTGAGATAGGTTTAGATATGCTGACATAAAACCACCCATACGCTGTATTAAGTGGGGGGAAAAACAGGCACAGAATAGTCTGGTCTCATTTGTGTGAGAAAATGGGGGAAGGTGGATATGACCCTATCAGCCTGAATGCTCGAAAAGTGTCTGGAATGGTGGCAGTAAGACCTCAGAGACAGTAAGTGAGGCTCTGAGGTAGGAGGAAGATGTCATGGAACACTCCTTTTCAGTCTGAATTTTTCCTGTGGGAATATATTATGTTTTCATTTTTACAAACTAGTTTTGAAAAACCAACCTAGGTGAGGATTCCCAAGCCACCTGGTTTTTGGCACACTCCCTACTCAGAAGCCAGCCGTGGTGCTCCCAGCGCCAAGCCCCAGAGAGAGGCCACCCGTGGGGGCTTGGGGCAGGAGCCAGCACTAACTGGCCATGAGAGAGCCACCTCGGGCACCTAGCCCACTCGGGACGTAAGTGACCAGCACTGTCTCCATCTGACCACAACCAGAGGGGAGGCCCTCAGTTAGAACTGCTCAGTGAAGCCCAGTCAATCCAGGACAAGGAGAAAAAAAAACAAATTGTTGATTTTAGCAAAGGGGAAAATAAAATACTAGTCAAAGACTTTTGTTTTAAAATGGCAGCTTGATCATGGACATTTATTTCTATTCCATCCTGGTAGCCCAATAAATCACGTTAAAGAAATTGAGGCAAAAAGGGCAAAGAGAACTAAAGAAATGTCAAGGAAAACAGAAGAGAAATGGCTATAAAATTTGGAAGCTGGAAAACAGACTGGATGACTTTCAGCAGACTTGAGAAATCAGGGGCAACTAGAAGTATCCTCCAGAGAAAACTGAGCGGCAGAGGCTGAGCAGCAGAAGGCAGGGCTGAGGCCTGGACTTCCAAGCTTGAGTGTTAAGCAACGGTCGGCTGCTAACAAGTGGGGCCAAAGCAGTCAGTTGTGAGACAGAATAAAGACGTCAATTAGAAATGTATGAACATAAAACGCTGACCTTCTAAGCACATGTGAAAGCAAACGACTAGAGGCTACGCCTTGGCAGAATGAGGGTGTTATCCCAGAAACTGGAAGACACAGGATGGAAGAAACGGAAGAGCCAAACTGCAAGGGGACAGCCGGGCAGCAGGCTTAAAGGCAGGCAGGGCAAATAAGAATAGGATCCCAGCGGTCCCTGGGACAGAGGTCTCCTGGGAAAAAGGGATCTGACAACTCTCTGATTTGTGTGAACATTTGGAAAAAATGACGAATAGACATGGGATAGACTCAAAAGGAAAATTAAGGATTCCTACGCACAAATTATGAAGGTGGAAAAGAAAAGCTCAAGAGCAACTATTAAGTTCAGGAAAAATTCAAACTTGTTAAAAAAAAAAAACAAATGTAATGAAAGATACTACTTGGTTCCATAGAAAGTGGTATTTTATGTATCTGTTTAAAAATATAAAAATGACAATAAAAAACTAAGTATACATGGAATTTGACACAACACTGTAAAATGATTATGAATCAATAAAAAATGTAAAAAAAAAACTAAGTATACAGAAATGAGGTTATTACAGGAAGTCAATAGACAATGCCTAAAATAAGTTAAGACACAGGCATATTACTTAGAAAAGTGAAAAAAAAACCTGTAAGTGTGGGGTGCAGGGTTATCGTTTATATTACAAGTCTTTTGACAATATCTGCTTTTTAAACTAAAAGACATATTAATGATATAAATGATTAATGTTTTAACTAATTATAATTTTACTATTAAGAAATTATAAAAATAATTATATATGAAATAGTTGTTGTGTTCAATAACAAAAGTCACCATAGATACTTATCTTGCTAAAATTATTTTTTAAACTCAAAATGCCAGAAAAGAAGTCTTGTCAGTCTAAATATAAACTGAGAAGTTACTGTATTCTTCTCCCCTTTAATAATAAAGAATTCATCCCAGAATTTACCTTACACTTAACAAAATAAATCAAGCTTCTCTGTTTGATAAGTGAGAGAAACTACTCAAAGTTTCTACCAAGAAAAAAAGTCACAAACATGCTTTAATAAACATAAAATCAGAGTCAAGTGTTTTATTCCCCAAATTTTAGCTGTTAGCAGTTATCATTAATCTCTCTATAATCATGATTCTTCTAAACTGATTAGAATTTCAAATGGAATGACTATCTTAGAATGAATAACTTCTTTTTCCCCAGAAATGACAGAAATACTTTTCAATATCTATTTCTAAGAATTAAGATAACTATATTCAAGTTACATTCAATATCTCCAAGAACCTATTTTACATACATCATTTATAATTCAAAAAAAAAATAAGTAATGGAATGAGATAACTGGACTTAACAAAAACCTGAATTAAAATGGGAAATTTCTTTGGAAAACGTAGGTCCTCCTGCCCCAAAAATGATTCTCTGAAAATTACCATTATCATTTCAGATTATATTTCATTCTCTGGCCTTCTAGAATTATAAATAAAAGACAGCAAGATCTGAAGGGGTGCTTATTAAAGTAGGAGCACCATGAAGAACAGCATCATAATTACCGAATAAAATGACATGCTTTTAAAGGACTGGGCTTTCATCCCCATACACTCTATACTTTTTTGTTTAATGAGAAATGGAAAGTCATCCATATTGTATTCATTTTCCAAAATTATACCAACTGGGTAAAAATTAATTTACTGAGAAACTCCTAAGAGCTAAAACAGTAACTATTAAGAGCTAAAGAGAAACAAACAAATTTCATTTTCTCCTTTAAAAGTGAAAATAATAATAATAATAAATATTAAAATAGTGCCAGGTACTATTCTAAGTGCCTTACAAAGAAACTGAGGCACAGATAGATTAATTAAATTTCCTAAAGTTTATTCAGCTACCAAGTGGTGGAACCAGGATTCATATTGGTAATCTAAGTTTTAAAAAGTTTGTATCTAAATCAATTCCTTATAAATTATTTTATGATTCATAAACTTTTATGCAAAATAAATCTGTTAATTCTAACGTTATCCTAAGTATCTGATTCTTAATTAATTATTTGTTTTTTATTTTTCAGTTTTATTAGGTAGAACTGTTACAATTTGACAGCACATTTACAATATATTGCATGTAAATACATCTACACAATATACTGCACATATTTTTTTAATTCACATATATGTACTATTCATTGTTTCTAAGAAGATTTAGAACTTTAGCTTTTTAAACTTACATAGTTCTGATTCCTAATGTAAAATCATAAACACATGACACAGCATACTATAAATACGCATATTTTATATATATATATACACACACACACACACACACACCCCATGTCAATAAAACCAAGTACCATGATTAATTCTATATGGAAACTCTATTTCTGAGGGACAAAGAAAGCAACGTGTATGTGAAAGTTTCTTTGTAAATTATACTTGGTTAATGATCAGTCCATATATTTGTAAGTTTGTTTACTACAATTTGCAAAGAAAATGTTCAAATATATGAGGTGTCTATTAAGCAAATTTTTTTAACATTAGGGAGTAATTGCTGTTTAACACCATGATGAAAGAAATATCTTTTTATCCATGATATTTAAAAGAAAAGCTGGATAAAATGTACAAATAAAGGATGCTGTGAATTTAAATAACATAAAAAATAAGCATGTAACAAATATTGGCCACATATGAATACAGAATATTTTCCTTAACTTACCTGCCAAATAGAGGGCAAATGATATAAATCTGTGGTAGCGAATGAGGAACTGAAGTTGCTCTTCTCTTTGAACAAATGTAGCAAAATAATCAGCTACAGTCTCTCCATAAAAAAAGTAATTTACACACAGTAGAAAGTACCTATAATTTAAAAACAATTAGCTTTTTTTATATTTGGAACTTTTCCCCCTCAAACTCAGTAAAACTATTTTCTACATTTTGATGATGCCACAAAGATCAAAACCAAGTTTAGAAGACCAGTTCAGGATATATTCCACCAAAGTGTTTTTTTCCCCATTTCAAATTTAATTTCTAACTTATCAGTCAACAAAAATTTACTGAATATAGTTCATGTCTTTAGTTAGCTCAAAATCTAATGCCAGAGACAAATAATTAGGAAACAATGTAGAAAATACTACACACACACACACACACACACACACACAGGGTATTAAGTTAATAATGAAAATTCACACCCAACTACTCACAGCTGTAACGCTTTTAACAGTAGAGCCCCTAAGCCAACCCCCATCTTCCCTAAAGATCAACAGGGAAAGAAGGAAGAGGTACTTGGACCTCTAACCTCTCTCCCCTCTGTCCCGCCCACACTGGGGTCTTGCTCCCTCTTCTCAAAGCTCCAGAAGGACTCTGGTTGGGCAGTGATTCTAAAGGGGGCAGCAATGGAGGATGCAAAGTACAAGTAGGTAAAAAAATCTCTGGGAGAAAATTTAAAAGCTGTATAAATGCCCAGCCCTGGTATATCCTTTCCCCCGAGGTAGGGGTTGAACCTATGAGACTTTGCTGATACGAATGTGGGTAAGCCAGGAAAAGAGGCTGAGAAACATGGCCATAGAGTTCCTCCGGGCCTCCTCCTTGAAGGGCAGAGTCCTAGGTAGCCAGGAGGGCAGAAGGACAGGAAAGGGGTGGTTGCCCTCTGGTTCTCATGGATGGAATTGGATCCCACTGCTCACGAAGTAAAGTATTCACATTTCTCTTCAGCGACATTACCATTTTTTTTAATCTCCTACAATGGAAACTGTCTGTGATTCCAATCCAACTTTTTGACCCCTATTCCCTAATAAATACATACCTTCTGCTCAGGAGAGCTAGGAATGTCCCACCTGCAGCACACACCTCTTCTGTCCCCACCAAGAACCTGCTGGGTGCTGCTTCCGTAACCCAGACATGCTTCACTCACGAGCCTGTCTTAGTTTAAGTGACCGTCTCTCTCTCGCCTTCTCCAAGAAGCCTCTAGAATCACTGCAGCCCATCCTGACCTACTTTTTTTCCCCTACACTTATAATCAATCCAGCATGGTTTAGCTTTTAATTATTCTTCAACTACTTAATCTACCTAAAATTTCCATACACTTCACAACTCATGAAGAAACTTTTCAAAAGGAAAAATCAGCTATTACTAAAATCAAGAAACTATTTTTTGACTACTGTAAAACCCAAAGGTTATACACTTGTTTTAATAAGACACTGGTCCCTCTGGCTGACACTAATCAAACAACTGTATTCAAAGGCATGGCCAGGTAGGTTCATTATGAACTATATTATCATGTTTCCTGATCAAGGTCCTGATAATTAAGAAACCTGAAAAGTTTTAAAAATGTATAAAAATTTAATTATTAAGAGTTATTTGATTTTCTTTTTTAACCATTTTTGCATCTATTTTTACATACACAATATTCCAGGGGCCAGTAACTGCTGGTGCTATTTAGAAGGGTGCTTTGCACACTGCCCCCATCAGTCTTCCTCTTCCCTCTGATCACCCTCTTTGTTGCATGCCACGGGGCCCAGGGCCTGACAGAGACCAAACCAGGAACAATAAGGTGGGGCTATCCCTCCTCTCACAACCCTGGCCCTCCTAGGGCTTTGGGGGCCTTTGAGGAGAGTAAGTCAGCCTGCAGGGGTGGGATGGGAGGGAGGGAGGGAGACAGATGCTCAGCTTGGGCTTCCCCCTCCCACCTCTCCCCACCCTGAATAAACCACTAATCACTTACAAAACAAAACAAAACAAAAAAACCCAAAATATCCACAACTATGTTCATCTTTCAGTCTTTGAAATATGAAATTTTGTGTAAGGTCTCATGTCAACTGAGGGGAAACAAAGCAAAAGATTACATATATTTGTAACATTTTATAAAATGAAACTTTATGTTAAAATTGTAATTTTAAAGGATATAAAAGCATGTCTGTATATAGCTGGGGTTTTTTAAAAAAGAGAACAAGAATAGTGTATATATTCAATATAAATTAGGCATCTCTACAAAGAATGAAAGGTGAGATATGAAAACAGTTGTGTTGAAGTGAGAGTGTCTAAAAGAGATTTTCTTCTTTTCAAAATTCAAATTTATTCTTTTTTGTTTATCTTCCTTTAAAATCAACCTATACGGCCAACTGTGTAGCTGCTGACTGAGCAGGATGCTTCCTTACAAACTTCGGAAAAGACTCGGATTTTCGTAGCTGGAACAGTTTTAAGCTACTTACCAGCTGAGAGTTCTAAACCACGGCAGGTCGTAAGAGCGATAGACTCTGTAACCTATGGTGATGATCTCATGGAAGCATTTCACTTGTATGCTCAGGACCTGAAACCACGAGAAAACATAACACGCATTTCTCAATATTTACATTTATGCTTAGTCGCTTGTCATGATTTTAAAAATCTTCAGCCTAACCTGCCCACTTTTAGTTATTCTAAGTATCAGTGGCAAAATCTCAGCATTGAACTTCTCTAAAATCAGTGCTGCCCCAAAGGGGTAAGCAAAACAGTGATTCATTCAAAAACTTTGAGAGATCATTCCCAGGGTAGGAGGCGGCACTGGAGTTCAGGGTTTGCGGGATACAGTCTGGTTGGTCACAGCCAACTAGGCTTTATCCCTCATTATTGTTTCCTTTCTTGAGGTTGTCCACCTCAAGGTGAATGACCTTTTTGTCTATTTTGTTTCTTGAGTTATCCTAAGAAAATGATCAGCTGTGAAAGTTTGCTTGTATATATTTATTTTTAACCATGCAACTGGATATGCTTGCCAAGGATAAAGATGCCGTCAAGACATATGGCTAAAACATCTTTACCCAGCTACCCAGGGGCTTCCCACCATGCCAGCTCTCCCACAGCCAGCCACACACATCTCTGATCAACACAAGCAGAGCCACACTGGCCTGTCAAGTCAGTCTATGCAATTTCTGTCTGCACAGTGTCCAATACAATTGCCTAGTAAAGGGATTTGTATTCATGAATCCATTTTTGATGGTCTCTGTAGCAGTCCTTCAAACTGCCGCGTCCACCAGTCTGAGTAAAGGTAATTCCTGAGAATGTAGCATCATATCCAGTGTTTGGTTTAAGTCAATTCCAAGGCTCAGAGCAAATGGCAAGTTGAACACTTAGCACTATCAATGAAGAGGTTCCAACCGTTGTGAAAATAGACTTTTTCAACCTCTAGAAAACATATCCAAGGGCTTGTTTTTGTACAGCCCTGGAACTAAGAATGGACTTTATATTTCTAAAAAGTTAAAAACAAAAACAAAGATTATATGACAGAGACATACGTGGCTCCTTAAAGCCCAAAATGTTACCGTCTGGTCCTTTACAGAGAAAGTTAACCAAACTACCGAAGGACGTACTTTGGGATTTCTTTTTAAGATCTCCAGAGAAGCTTTCCCAAACCTGCTGCTCAAGATGTTCTTGAGCTGTTTTTCCTCACTATACTTATTACATGTCCAATCACATACTGAAAAGATTAGTTGTGTCCCCTCAGCCACATGGTAAGAAAATATTACGCCAAACTACTATAAGCAGTAGTAAATATAATATAAATGTGTTATAATATAAAGACAAGAAAATATTTAAATATTGCCCTTCAGATTATCTTTGTATAAAATATCAAGACTTTTTTTTAACAAAAATAACCATAGAATGGTACAATGCTAAATGTTAAAATGGCAAAACTATGCTATTTATGGAACCAAGGGCTTATAAAATATCAAATGCACTGATGCAATTTCTATGAATACATTTGTTCAAGAACAACCATAACCACTATATATGGTATTTAACTGAGGGGAGAAAAAAAGTATTTTTGATATCACACAAATATATGTATGTGATTGTCACTTACAACTTGCCAGCAGAATTAATACGGAACTGCTAGGCAAATAGAAAACAGGGGATTCAAATTACTAGAGTAAAAATCCTTAAAACATATGCATGTCTTCCAGGGCTGGGTGATCACACAGAAACTGATACTCCATAAGTACTGGCAGCAATGCATTGGTAGGACTCTGTTGGCCCAATTAACGTGTTAAGAGCATTAAAAACAACAATTGATAAGCAAATGCCTATTCTGCTGATTACTGAGGATTCAGAGAATAATATGGGGCTTCTGTTCTCAGAGAGGCAGTCTGTCATGGAGAACACACACAACTACAATACCATGTGGAAACAGCCATGTGGACATAAGTACAGGCAGACCCAAAATCTGTGGCAGGGGTAGGGAAGGGTCAGTTGGGGCAAAGGAGGAGGATGTGCAGAGTCATGTATGTAGGTGAGGACGAGGATGTGGAGGGAACTACAAGTAGTTCAGAGGTGCTGGAACACAGAGCTGAGGGTGAGAAGTCGAGAGAGTTGAGTCTGGTCACACCATCGCAGGACACAGCATGAAGGACAGCACAAGGGAGTTCATGCTGATCATGAAAGAACGTGATCAGATGTATGTCTAGGGATCACAGATGGAAAGGATTGACTAGAGAGGCAGGCAAGACATCACTTTCCAGATGAGCATGGATGAACATCTAACTGGGACAGCGGCAGAGGAGGGTGGAGTACAAGAAATATGAGACATTGAGGAGATAGAACTGACTGGACTTGGTGGTTGAGGAAACTGGGGGGCTAAGAAGGAGAGGGGAGCACAGAATAACACCAGGAAAGGCTTGGAAAAGTAGACAGATTTATTCAGAATGGGTGGTGATGGAACAGAAGTTCAGATTTGGATAGGCTGAGTTTGAACTATGGTACCCATGGTTTATCCAAATAAAAGAGCCTATTGTCAATCTGGGGATCTATTTGAAGAAAATAATCCTGCATATGAAAAAGCTTTGCATTCTAATATGTTCAGGGTAATGTTATTCACAAAAAGGAAAAGCCAGAATATAACCTGAACGTCTAAAAATAAACACACTGGTTTAAATAACTTACGCTGTGCTCCATTCTGTTGAGTAGATGAATGTATTAAAGCTGATGGCTGTAAAGACCGTGGAGCAACTCAAAACATTCGATGTGATATTTAGTTTAAAAAGAAGGATACAAAATTTTAGTCACATTAGAATTACAATGATAGTTTTTTAAAAGAAAAAAAGATGAAAGGAAATGTCAGTATTAATTGAGTTTTGGTGGCTGATGATAGGATTGGGGTGACTTTTTAAAATTATATATTTTCCAAAGTAATTCTAATAGACTTTTATAACTCTCACAATGGGAGAAAAATTAAATGTACCATTTAAAAGTAAATTAAAGAATGTGAATTATAACAATTATTATAGGAGTTTCCAGGAAGGGGTGGGGGGACTCTCTTATGATATTTTTTTATATCTTTAAATCAAAATATGTTTTAGTAACTCCATCACTTAGAAAGTGTGATTCCAAGCTGTGAACGCAATAATTAAAGCACTATTATGTAGAAGGTTGAAGGAAAAAAAGCTCCTTTTATTTTCAGGAATATGAGTATGAGTTCCATCTTAGAATAGCAGCTATCATTTCCTAGAAGTAAATTTTTAATAAAGCTCTCTTCCATTAGTCATCTTGGAGTGCTGATATTACTAGGTGCATGTACAAGCTAGCTACAATGCGTACTTCTCAAAATAGAAATGATCTATTTATGGTTATGAATGTAAATAAGACTTTAAAATACATAAAAGTCATATCACTTGAGTACCAACAGTGTGGGCATATGTGTACATCCATCCATATTCCCTTAACATAAACATTATAAATACAACACATGTCCATCTGCATGTGTCCCTGTGTGCATGTATGCATGTACACATGCGCATGCAACAAACCTTAAATAAGAGCACTCACAATTCAAATCCAGTTTAACTACATCTTTAATATTCTTCTATTCTTCTCTGATTAAATTCACCAATCAAAGAAATAACTTGTAATAAAACGGTATCTTCCTTTCATAGAAAAAGAAAAAAGAAAAAAAAGCCCAAGTACTTCAGGTGGGCTTTTGATTTTCTGTTTAAAAAAATCAGAATCCAAATATGCAAGATGTCTTTAAAGGTGTTTTAAATTTTGTAACATAAGAATGGCTAAAAATTCATCTCTATCCACAAATTCTGACTCAGTTACCACACCAAACAGTTCAGCTTGGAGAGCAATGTAATTTATGCACAGAGAACCCACCAAACCAACCTGAGCCAGTGCATCCAGAATACTGGTGTTTTGCAGTATCTTACATCAAAATTACCTGCTAAGAGGAATCATAAATCAAACTATCCCTAATATTTTAAATGGCTCCTTAATGCTTTACAAATAAATTCCAACTTCTTAACAAAGTACTGCAAGGTCCTCCAAGATATGATTCCTCACTGTGTTTTCACATTTAAAGGCCCCATGCTCAAGAAATGGTATGACCTGCCCTTTCCTGACACACTTGGCCACTGGGACTTTTGCTCACAATTCTCACCCAACCCTGACAGGTCCTCAAGGTCTGCTCAAAGGTCCTTTCATCCCCAAAGCCTCAGTGAGCTGCCTGCCATCACCCATTCTCCTCTTCTCCAGGATCGACCACCATCACACACACAGAACTGAAAAGCGCTCTACACACACCCACTCCTGAAATGCCCAGTCCAGGGGCCACTGGTGGTCACTGGCACTGAGAGCCCGCAGTGGGTTCAGACCGAGGGGACTGGCAACTGGAGCCCTTTCCTCAAATCACACCTGGACAGTGCTCACATCTGCCCACCTGGATCTCACAAACTCAGCATCCTCTAGCCTCACGTTAAGTCAGTCCTATCCATTATCCATTTTTCCATTGTAAGAAAAAGCTCTTTAGGATCTCAGCAAATTAACAGCACAGACAAAGTCTTTCACATTCATTTTTTACCTTGATTCCTCAAAGAAGTACAAAATTAATGAGAGCATGAAAAGAAAATGAAAGGGCTTTATGGTGCTTATAAGAGCTGCTTTAATTGGTTTCAGGAGTCGATGGAATTTTTGGAATTTTTTCTCAATCATGTCTAACTTCACTTCAAAACTTATTCTTTTATAAAAAAAAAAATAAAAGGACAGCCATCATATTGCTCATAGCTTATCACTGTGAATAAGAGTGAGCATGGAGAAGGGAAGACAGGTGAGATGGGTAAACCCATTTCTGAGGGCGCCAGAGCAGCCAGACAACAGGGGGATGAGTATATAAGAGGAGGCTGAACTAACTGAGACGGATGAAGGAAAATAATAAAAAAGAGGGACACCGTGCACTCCCCTGCGAGCAGGCCCTCACCGCTCACCGCCAAACCACGCTCAGCACTCAGGAAGGGCTTGATGAATTTGCTGAACAAAATTTCTCCTTCTTACTTCTACCACTCTGGGCTTCCAATGTTTCATGTCTCCTTAGATACCAAGGCTTTTATACACAGGGAATTCTCTGCTGTGATAGCCCTTCCCCCAAGCTCCCCCCTTCACCCCTACTCAGCCTTCAGATCGCACTGCATGTGCTGGGCACTGGATAAAGTCTGGAAGACGCCCAGCTCTGCTCTCAGGGCATTCTTTTTTTTCAAAATACTTATTACAGTTTGTGAGTATATATCTGATCAATTCCTTAAAATGTAGACAGTAAGCTCCCTGAGGGCAGACACAGGTGTGCTTTTTCCAGTACCACTCCCCAGAACTAGTGCCTGGCACATAGCAGGTATCTTGAAGCATCTGCTAAATGGATGAATTAAAAGCTTAAAATACTTGTGTGGCTTCATGACTTGTTGGGCTTCCTGTACACAACAAAATCCCAGAATGGCTTCTGCTCACCTCCCTAGTCCCATCCCTAGACACCTCCATGTGTATAACCCGCAAATCCCCCAATAGACCAGTCTCTTGTTACCGACACCCCTGCCCCTGATGTTCTCACCTTGGAATGCCTTCCCCTGCTCGGGGCTTCTTTAAGACTCAGGTGTGGCATCACCTTTCCTGGAAGTCTTCCCTCATCTCTTTCTCAGACTGGATGAGGTAATTTTCTTACCATGCTCTTCTGAAAGATCTGTCACAGGTCTGCTCCTACTCATTTACTATACCATTTATTCATGTGGTTATTTACATGTCTCTGCCATTAGACTGAGTCCGCTGAAGTTGGGGTCTAGCCAGTAGTCAGACCTGCTATTGAAGTCATGTGTTTGTGTTTCTGTTCTACATTATGCTTGGCACAAAGATGTGTATCTATTATGCATACTTGGTCTCTGCTGAATGACCACATGGAATGGCCACCTTGCAAATGGGAAAGAACAGTTCAGAGCATTTCGTGAACCAGAAGATGCTTAACGGAACTAAATTTGCTGTTACCACCAACTCTCAAATTACCTTCTTTTTCATGACATGCTCAAATTACTTCAGTCATATCAATACCGGAAAACAAAGCAAGAGACACCTGGGCAAAAGTAAAACACTTACAAGAAGCATCAGCATAAAGGATCCCATATAGATGATCAGGAAAAACAACGAAATCATAGTCAGAGTAAGAATTCCACGAATCCACCAGTTTTTCCACCTGCAAAGGAAAAGTTTGAAAAGTTAGCATTGAACGTGTTCTTAAGTCGTTTTGTGTTGTTTCGGTACTGAGTTGCCAAACTTACAGATTTCTCTTAACTATGCTTCAGGAATCCCCTACTTTAACAACAAAAACCAACCAAACAGACCAATAGCATTCATTCACGCACTGAGAGCTAAATGAAGTGTAAAAATTATGTTAGCTAAAGAAAGAAACTAGATTGTGTTCAGTGTGAGTAAGGATGAATCACGAGGCTGGGAAGTGGCCAATGGGGATGTGTGCATATTCCGCCGGGGTCATCGGAAGGGCAGGAGGAGCCAGGCGCTCAGCCCTCTCAAAGGACGCCCCTCCTTCAAGGTGGTTGATAAACACCGTAGCGATTCTGAGGTGGTGTAAGCCAGAAAGCACGGCCTTCCAGTGAGTACAATTAAAGAAAGGACAACAGGGAACTGAAACTGGAGAGCACAGCGATTTCAGGGAAACAAGGAAGGCGCAGGGAGGTCAGCCACCCAAGGGCACTTCTTTCTGTTGCTCAATGTGTGTTGCCTGCTTTCCTGAGGGACAGAGAATTTAGCAGAAAACTGCTCTCTTCTCCTTGGCCCTCTGCTGGTTCTCAGAGCAGAGCTTCCCTGCTGGGACACCTGGCTGGTTCCCCGGTAGGCTGGGACTTGACCTCCCTCAACCCTTTGCTGTCAGTAAGGGCCTGGGGAGCCCAACTGCCCCCCACCCAGCCTCACACTTCACCCCCAGTGTAGCTTACAAACATTTTCACTCTTTACATGGCCATGTCATGAAAAATATCAGCAACCACTGTATAAAACACCCCAAATTATTCTACTAATACCTATAAAGGAATGAGGATTTCTGAATCTAAAATTGCCACCTCCTTCTTTCATTCATTCTACACCCATTTTACATTATACTCGCAGTAAATTTTTTTTAAAGAATTTTCTGATTTCTATTAATTCAAATGTCTCAGAAGAGACTTCGATTCAACATCTGGTAACACATATGCACTGTATTCTAAGCACAAGCCCTCATTCTCTTCCCTACAACAGAAATATTAGCTGCTTTCGTCCATTTATCAAATACTGATTTACATCCCCTGCTTGCAATCACTGTCCTGTATAGTCTAGATACTGCTAACTACTCTTCCTCAGATATTCCTGTGATCATGTCCTTTCTGCGCTCGAGATCTGAAACACCAATAACATTAAGCTCAAGCTCTTTTATCCAGCTTCCAAGGTTTTTCATGAGGTGGTCAAATTGTACTTACCCGGCTTTATTTCCCTCTACTGTTTAACAAACTATGGAGACTCATACATTTTTCATGAGTCCATAAGCTTTGGGGCTGAGCTGAAATGAGTGAAGAGTCAAAACTGCTATGGTTGAAAGGTTCCTTTTGGTTTTACAGGCTGAACTGTTTGAGGATGAACAAATGGATTAGGAAACCGGGCTAGGCTGCGGAGCTAGTCAGAGGTAAACAAAGAACCCTAAACCAGTCTCCTGATAATAATCCAGTCCAGTTTGCATGAACCTCAGAAATGCATTTAGCCCTGTTTTATAACTGATTCTCAGAGGGAAGGGTATAGCTCAAATGGTAGAGCACTTGCTTAGTATGTACTAGGTCCTGGGTTCAATCCCCAGTACGTCCACTGAAAAAGTAAAAAAAATAAATAAAATTAATTACCACCCCCCTACAAAAAAAAATTATAAAATAAATAAATAAAACTCTTTCTATAACCAATTCTCAGACGCAGAATTATCCAGAACCTCTCCTAGAGAAAAGGACACTACTCAAGTGTCAGAAATCAGTCCCCAGGTGGGAGCTGCAAGGTCCAAGTGTACCTCTAATGTTAGAGGGCTGGCTTTCAATTTTAGAGAATGGTAGCTTCTGCAAGAAAAATTCCCTTTCCCCAACAAGATCAAAGACTTAATTTCCTTATTTTAATTAAAATGTCTCCCCCAATCTCCCAAGAATACCTAATACAAAGTTAAGCACATGAAACCACATTTTTAACTATAATGGATATGTCTTTTTTTTTAATTGAAATATAGTCAGCTTACAATGTTGTGTCAATTTCTGGCATATAGCATGTTTCAGTCATACATACATATACATATATTTCTTTTCATTATAGGTTATTAAAAGATACTGAATATAGTTCCTTGTGTTATACAGTATAACTTGTTGTTTATTTTTATATATAGTAGTTAGTAGCAGATATGTCTATTGATAACAGTAACCAAAAATTATCTCTTAGGGAAGAAGCACTAATTCAAAACAGAGCTTTATATGCAAAAAAATACCACTGTTACTAAAATCCAGTCTGGTTCCAAATTCAAAATTCTCAATTTCCTTTACCTCAATTTCCTACAGTAAAGGAGAAAGCCTTAATTTTGAGTCCAAGTCATCACACCTCACAGATTGTCTTAGATAAAGGAACTCAGAATCAGTAGAGGAGAATTTCATTCAAGTCTCATGTCTCCAGGACCTATACGAACTAGAAACGAGATTTCTAAAAAGTAGATAATTAAACAGTGTCCTTAAAAGTGATTATCTAAGGTGGTTACACACTTATTGCTCAAATCAGTTATGTGATGCACAATATTTAACTGTTACTCAACTCTTGAATGTTTTTTATCTCAAAACTAATGACAAAGTTAAAAAAAATACATTTTTATAGTGGCACAAACATAAATCATCAAAGACCTGGGACATCAAAAGCACTTGAATCAAGGAAAAGGACACAGAGGCACTCCTCAAGAATACACAAGAACTTGGTGGGCCATCTAGCAAAGAGCAAGATTTTTGAGGAAGTCCATCTACCAGCCTTAGGAGGAAATGGACAGGAAGGTGCAGGTTCCCAGAGAGAAGGAAGACGGCATCACAGAGTACAAGAGCATCAGAAAGGCTACGCCTGGCTATGTCCACAGTTTTCCAATCTCAGCACTAGTAACACTTGGGCCAGTTAATTCTTTGTTGTGAAGGGCTGTTCTATGTACTGCAGGATGTTCCCTGACCTCTACCCACTAGGTGCTAGCAGCACCATCTCTTGTTGCAATAACCTAATGTATCTCCAGATGTTGCCCCATGTTCACTGACTGGGGGAAGGTGCAAAATCCAGGGCACCGCCCCTGGAGGGAACTACTAAATTAGACTCATTGCTGAAGAAGCCCTTCATTAAAGGATAGAGCCAGACTTCACAGGCTAATAAATATTCATTTCCACAGACTCATACACATGTCAATAAACAGACTGGGACAACTTGCCAGGTGACTGAAGTCCTTTCAAGCCCATTCCAATTTCAACAACTTACGCTCTTTCTGGCATTATATATTAGAGCCTTAAAAATGAACATAAATCTTGACCATGCAATGTCACTTTTAAAATTTTATCCTAAAAAAAAATTATGGACAGTAAATAAAAGTTAGCTATAAAGAAAGAAGTTTAAAGCAGAGTTGGCTTTAACTGTGAAAATTTAGAAATCAACTAAATGCCCAGCAATACTTGTTTAAATTGAACTATAGCCATATAAAGGAATATATCATATTTACATATATTTAAGGACGTTGTGTCTAATACCATGGAATGAAAATAAAAATAACAAGGCAGAAAACAGTACGATGCTCTTTTTACATTTTACACACACACACAAACACACAATGCAAAAGAAAAAAGTTTCGAAGATAAACAACACAGATTTCTAAATATCAGTGTCTTGGTAGGAGGATTATAGGGTTTTCTTCTGCAATCTATGTAACTTTCTTACATAATTATTATTTTTACTCCTATGCATCTACAGCTTCTAAGTGTTTGCAAGGCAGACTATTCGGGGTATTAAATAAAAAGAGGCTAAAATGTGTCAGACATAGATTTTCAAACATTAACATAACCTTTACAGAAAATTTTCTTTAAAAGATTGAAACTAGTCATATATTATCTGCTATTTATTTTTAAGACCAAGGCTTTCATAACTAGAGCACAATGACTATGTTCAGAATGTGGTTCTATCACTTACCAGCTACGTGACCCTTGATAAATAATATTTCTGTGCTTCAGTTTCCCCACTTATACAACAGGTATATTACCATACCTGTGTAACAGGATTGCCTTGAAAATAAGTTAGTCAATACATGTAAAGTGCTTGGAGCAGCACTCAGCAAATATATATGATCAATAAATTCCTGTTACTACTACTTGCTATTGTTACTTTACACCAGAAAAAAAAAAATCAAAGAAAATCTTGTTATGAATGATACGTAGGAATACCGCATCATTCTTATATAACCTCAATATGAAAAGAATTCAGATCTGAGATAGACCAGGTTAGATTTTAAAGCAAAGGTACATCTGTGAACTAGGTCATGAAAACAACTAGGACCGAGAACTATTAAAATAATAATCAGGCTTTTAATAATAGCAAAAATTTATTCTATTGGTTAAAAAATGAAAACTTTAATTTATTCTATTATGGTTATCTTCTAGGAAATTAAAAATCAGAAAAGCTCATATTTTATTTATTATCCATGACTAAATCAGTGTTTTTCAAACTCCAAATTAGTAATCCAGAATTTTTTTGTTCTGTTTGATAACATAGAACAGTTACTAAACAGAAAAGAAATCAACAGGATATCACACACAGTAATGTCAAAAATGGATTCATTACATTTTACAGCAGCTGAAACAGACGTCTGTGTGTCTCTTGGGGGTACAAAATGGTAAAGGGTTGTGAAGTTTTGGACAATGATTTAAACCTCAGCTAAAAGAAAAAATTACCTATTTCCATCTGGCATTTGAAAAACAGGGAACAGAGAATATAGAATGTTCTTTATTAGATATTCCAGTACCATTAAAAGGCAATCTGATGTGGTAAATGGATCACTGCCTTCAGAAACTTGGCAGACTAGGACAGGAATGCCAGGTCCACATCTTACTAGCTCTGTAACCTTCTCTAGTTAACCCATAGACTTGGTTTTCTCATACTTAACAACATTTTAAGGATTAATGAAAGGATGTACATCAAGCATCTAATAGCATGCCTCATTTATGATGAAAAAGCATAAAGCCTTCTCTCTCATAGCTCTAAAACTTAAAAAAGGTGAAAGTTATTATACTGAACATGGTCCAGGGAACAGGTCCAAACCTCTCAGCTTATCTTGTACACCCATTATATTCACCTTCAACCAATCATACCTTGCAGACAAACCAGACAGAGCTCTCTTGAGGATCTCAGGGGTTCTATCTGAGGATGGTGGAATTTCTGGAATATCAGAATCTGTTCTGGAATCCAAATCTCCATATCTGTCATCAATATCTGTTTCCTAAAATTAAAGGAAAAATAAAATCACTTAGCAAAATAAAAGGAAGAAAAGCACATGCTTGCCAATGCATTTATTTATTGCTCAGTGTGTAAACTCTCAGTACATAACTTAAAACAAAGAAATAACTATTAACTTATCTTGAATATTCAAGCATGGTTGTATATCCTAGTTAGAAGAGTTTGATTATCTTTGCTAAAATCTATCAATATAAAGGATTAACTTAAACAAAAGACACAAAAGAAGAATGCCTACATTATCTAAATCAGAAATTTACCACAGAATCAAATGTGTTTTGTTTTGCAACTTAACAGAGAACATGATGTTAACTCCATGTAGATTCTGATCGACTGCACACAGTCCGTTTTTTGTATTATTTGATTACAATTAAAGCATCAACAACAGGAGTAATATATTACACTGGCATAGCATTTCTCTGTGTGTGTGTATACATATACTCAGCATTTAAACTTCCATCATTTTTATTAGATCCTCAAAAGAGAAGCTCAGCCAAGATGGAGGAGTAGAAAGACCCTGAGATCATCTCCTTTTGTGGGCACACCAAAATTACACATATTTACAGGACGACTCTTAACGAGGAAGAGAGGCATCTACTAGAAAAGATTGTCTACAACTAAAGATACAAAGAAGGAACCACAAGAAGATGGGGGAGGGACAGAGTTGTGCTACAGTCGAGACCTATACCCCCTGGTGGGTAACCCACAAACAGAATAATTACAATCATAGAGGTTCTCTCCTAGGAACGAGGGGTCTGAGCTTCATGTCAGGAACCAGCCCGGGGAGTACTAAATGGGGAAAATGAGCCTCTAGAATGTTTGACTTTGAAGGCCAGCAGGGTTTACTTTTGGGAGACCCAGAGGGCTGTGGGAAATAGAGACTCCACTCTTAAAGGGTGCACAGAAAAATCTCACAAACTCTGGGACTCAGGACAGAAGCAGTAATTTGAAAGGAGCCTGGGTCAGATCATCCTGCTAATGTTGGCAGGTCTCCAGCAAAGGCAGGAGTCAACTGGTCCTCACCCCGGGGTCAGGGACATTGACAGCACCCATGCTGGGGAGTTTGTTCCACCACCCAGACACTGATGTGGCAAGCACCGATCTGGAATTCTCCCTCTGGCTTAGTCTTAGGACACTACCCCACTTCCCACCCACCAGCAGGCAGGCTGCCTAAGAACCCCTGAGCCAACAGCTACCCCTGGACATGGCCCTTTCCACCAGAGGGCCAAGGACCTAGCCCCAGACACCAGTGCCTCGGCATTGGACTTGGAATCCACGGGCCCTGCAGCCAGAGACCCATCAGTGGGCAGGCACTAGCCCCAGAACCAAGAACGCCATGGGCTTAGGCCATGCCCACCAGCAAATTAGGCAACATGAGGCAACAGAGAACAGCTTTCAAACAAAGGAACAAGATAAAACCAAAGAAGAACTAAGTGAAGTGGAGATAGGCAATCTATGCAAGAAAGAGTTCAGGATAATGATCATGAAGATGATCAAAGAACTCTGGAGAGCAAGGATGAACAGAATGAGAAATTAGAAGTTTCTAACAAAGAGTTGGAAAATGTAAAGAACCACCAAACAAAGATGAAGAATACAATAACTGAAATGAAAAAAGCACTAGAAGAACTCAGCAGTAGATTCAGTGATACAGAGGAATGGACCAGTGAATTGGAAGACAAAATGGTGGGAATCACTGAAGTGAACAGAAAAAAGAAAAAGGAAAAAAAAGAAGTTAGGACAGTTTAAAAGAGCTTCACGTCAACATCTAGTGTACTAACATTGGAATTATAGGGGTCCCAGAAGGAGAAGAAATAAAGAAAGTGGCAGAGAATATATTGAAAGACACAAGAGCTGAAAACTTCCCTAACCTAGGAAAGGAAACAGATATCCAGGTCCAGAAAGCACAGATTCCCAGACAGGATCAACCCAAAGAGGATCACACCAAGATACATTATAATTTAAGTGACAAAAATTAAAGATAGAGAATATTAAAAAGCAGCAAGGGAAAAGCAACAGTGAGTTTCGTACAAGGAAACTCCCACAAGGCTACCAGCTGATTTCTCAACAGAAACTCTTCAGGACAGAAGGTAGTATGATATATTTAAAATGACAAAAGGGGAAAACCTACAACCAAGAATGTTCTAGCTGGAAAGGCTTTCATTTAGATTTAATGGAGAGGTCAAAAGTTTCACAGACAAGAAAACGCTAGCAAGAGTTCAGCACCACCAAACCAGCTATGCAACAGATGTTAAAGGGACTTCTCTAAGGGAAACAGGAAAGGCCACAACCAGAAACATGAAAACCATGAGAGGAAAGAGCTCATTGGTAAAGGCAAATATACAGTAGAGGTAGTAAATCAACCACGTACAAAGCTAGTAGGAAGGTTAAAAGACAAAAGTAGTAGAATCACCTCTCTCTGCAATAAATAGTCAAGTGATACACAAAAGATGTAAAGCAGTAACTACGAGGGGAGGAAAGGACAAATGCAGGGTTGTTAAATGCCTTTGAAATTAAGAGATCAGCAACTTAAAACAATCACGTATATATACAGATAGCTGTGTATAAACTCATAGTAACCACAAACCAAAAATCTATACTAGATACACACAAAAAAGAGAAAGGAACCAAAACATAGCACTAAAGGGAGCCAGCAAGTCACAAGGGAAGGGAACAGAAGAAGAAAAAAGAGCAAAAAAGAATTACCAACACAACTCTGAAACAATGAACAAGATGGCTACGTGAACATGCGTATCAATAAATACTTTAAATGTACATGGACTAAATGCTCCGATCAAAAGACACAGAGCAGCTGAATGAGTAAAAAAACAAGATCCATAAATATGCAGCTCACAAGAGACTCACTTCAGATCTAGAGACACACACAGACTGAACGTGAGCAGATGGAAAAAGGTATTTCATGCAAATGCAAAAAAAAAAAAAAAAAAGAAAAAGCTGGGATAATGATACTTATACCAGACAAAGTCGACTTTAAAATAAAGACGGCAACGAGGAACAAAGACATACGTTACATAATGATCAACGATCCAATCCAAAAAGAAGATATAACAATTGCAAATATATATGAACTCAACATAGGAGCATGTAAATACAGAAAGCAAATATTCATAAACAAAGAAATCAACAGTAACACAATAATAGTAGGGGACCTTAACACCCCACGGACATCAGTGAACAGATCATCCAGACAGAAAATCAGTAAGGAAACACTAGCCTTAAATGACACATTAGGCCAAATACACTTAACAGATGTATTTAGAACATTCCATCCAAAAGCAGCAGAATACACACTCAAGTGCACAAAGAACATTCTCCAGGATGGATCACATGCTGCACACACCAGGCCACAAAACAAGCCTTAGTAAATTTAAGAAAACTGAAACCATATCAAGTGATTTTTTCTGACCACAACACGAGACCAGAAATCAATTACAAGGAAAAAAAAACTACAAAAAACACACAAACACATGGAGGCTAAGCAACGTGCTACTGAGCAACCAATGGGTCACTGACGAACTGAAGAAGAAATAAAGAGAAATATCTGGAGACAAATGAAAGTGAAAACACAGCGATCCAAAGCCCATGCGACACAGCAAAAGCAGCTCTAAGAGGAAGTTTGCAGAGATGCAAGCTTGTCTCAGGAATAAGGAAAATCTCAAATAAACAACCTGCCCTTACACCTAAAGCAACCAGAGAAAGGAGAATGAACAAAACCCAAAGTTAATAGACGACAAGACATCATAAGGATGAGAGCAGAAATAAATGAAAGAGACACTTCAAAAAATAGAAAAGATCACTGAAACTAAGAAGTGCTTCTTTGAAAAGATAAACAAAATTGATAAGCCTTTAGCCAGAATCATAGGGGAAAAAAGGGAAAGGGTCCAAGTCAATAAAATAATAAATGAGAAAGGAGACATTACAACTGATAACACAGAAATACAAAGCATCACAAGAGATTATTATGGAGAGCTATATGCCAATAAAATGGACAACGTAGAAAAAATGGAAAATTCCTAGAAGTATACAATCTCCAAGACTAAATCAGGAAGCAATACAAAATATGAATAGTCCAATTACCAGTAATGAAATGGAATCAGTAATTTAAAAAACTTACAACAAACAGCCAGACTATATGGTTTCACGGGTGAATTCTACCCAACATTTAGAGAAGACTTAACACCTATTCTTCTCAAACTACTCCAAAAAATTGCAGAGGAGGAAATGCTTCCTAACTCACTCCATGAGGCCAACATCACACTGATAACAAAACCAGACAAAGATACCACACACACAAAAAATTGCAGGCCAGTATCACTGATGAACATGGATGCAGAAATCCTTAACAAAACATTAGCAAGCCGAATCCAACAGTACATTAAAAAGATCATACACCATGATCAAGTAGGAATTATCTCAGGGATGGAAAGATTTTTTAATATCCACAAATCAATCAATGTAATACACCAAATTAACAAACAATAATAAAAATCATATGATTGTCTCAAAAGATGCAGAAAAAGTTTTGACAAAATTCAATACCTATTTATGTTAAAAACTCTTCACAAAGTAGGTATAGAGGGAACATACCTCAACATAATAAAGGCCATCGATGGTAAGCCCACAGCTAACATCATCTTTAACAACTAAAAGTTGAGAGCACTGCCTCTAAGATCAGGAGCAAGACAAGGATGCCCACTCTTGCCACTTTTATTCAACACAGTATTGGAAATCCGGTCACAGAAATCAGACAAGAAAAAGAAATAAAAGGAACCCAAATTGGGAAGAAGTAGTAAAACTGTCTCTGCTTGTAGATGACATGATACTATACATAGAAAAGCCTGAGGGCACCACTAAAGGCTGCCAGAGCTCCTCAGTGACGGTAAAGTTACAGGACACAAAATTAGGACATAGAAAGCTGTGGCATTTCTACGCACCAACAACAAACTATCAGAAAGAGAAATTAAGGAA